CATGGCCTTCAACACGTCATTTCGGTCAAACTTCCATTACTGTAACTCCTGATAAGTTAGACAGATCGAACATCATTGAAACATTTCATCGCATCTAAGTATTGCGTATTTACAGCTCAAAATCCATGGATTTGGTGTGCGGCGGCTGCGCTCGCAAAATCGCTCTTGTCCCACGCGGTGCAAAAGCACAAAACGCGCGATGTCGTCAACGTATTATTAAGGCAAGGTCAGGCCCAGTCACGCCAATGTAGTTGCTCCCGTGGAGAGTTGTGTGATCCGACACTGCGGAGATCGCGCCCCTTCGCAGATCGAAACGGATCACTGAGACGCTAGCCGCTAAGGATAAAGGTAAAGGATAAAGCATTTGCCGTTGATCAATCCCTTTTTGGGATGCGGCACGCATTCTACTTCCATTTGTACATTCGTAGTGGCGTTTGAATGCGATGTGGCCTATACAATGACTTGCGGGGGCCAGCCGATGTACAAGTCAGTGTTTTTATCCTCCCAGACAAGTCTGGTACCAATTAACCGACCCCGGAGGGATGGAAGGCTTGGTTGGCCCGGGCGACTCACGACCCAGGATTTGATCCCCGGACCGCTCGCGTGGTAAGCGTGCCACTTGCCACTACACCACTTCCGCCCTAGCCGCTAAGGACTTTGATCAAATCCCACCAAAACTATCAGGGCGCCCACCATTCCATATCTTATCTGCGCCACAGTGTTGATCTGCTACGCGCTCTCTCACTCTACTCAGACTTCCCTTACTCACTACGCGTTTCACATTATCTTTCATCTCGATACCTGCTTCTTGATTAGATACTCCGCAACATGGAGCAAAAAGGCTCGTATTTCCTGTGTTTTCACCATTTTCCTTCCTTTTTTCCACTTGCAGTCCACATCCTATCCCCACTTTCACATTTGGTGGGGTTATCACAACATTTTAATCCTTATCCTTGCTTTCAAATCGTCACACATATAAGTACTGAGAAACTGATGGAAGATTTTTGGTTACTGATAAAACAGATAACAAAATTCTGCATAGGTGCGTTCATCATGACGATCCGCGAAGGGTTAAAACGCCTAAAATAAGCGCATATCGAAATAGCCGAAAACAGTGATCTTATGGATTGTGACGGACCCATATAGTGTTTTGAAAGGAAGGCTGTACGTGGGCGGAGCAATCTGGGCGGACCCAAAGTGGTCAGGCATTGAAATTGTGCCCTGTGGATCACTCCAAGTCAGCGAGGCCTGTACCTCTGGCTCAGAGTCAACCATTTTAACTAAGAAAACTTACAAAGGCTTTTCCACTCCTTGACTTCAGTTGAATTCAATAGTTGTTAAAAATCTCAGTCGCAATTCAGCGCATACCTGCTGCAAGCGATGAGGGATGTTTATCCTCCAATCTCACAGAAGGTGATAACGGCGCCAGGTCAGCGTTCGGAACATAACCCACAAATGACACTGAGGAAACGGCTAGAGATCGAACCAATGACGACGACGTGGATATATTCCTGAATTTAGGGCCGTTTAAGGTTTTTTTATTAGGGTGAATTACTTTCAAAAAGACAATTTATTTACCGTGCTAGTCTGTTCAGTAGCGATAATCTGCACTGCTTGTACAGGTAGGAAATGATGGCTTCGAAATAGCATGGCCGAAGATAATAGGGCACATTTTCCATGAATGCAAGAATGCAGTTGAAGAACTGTGAGACCTGCAAAAGGGCGATATGAGGAGGCGGTGGATTTGATAATGAAAGGAAAACAGGGCAAAAGAATCCAATGAATGACCATCCTAAGGCTAGTATAAGTTCTCAGGAAAGCGCAATTTATTCATACAAAGTGGCACAACACAAAGGGTCCGCGATTATTTCATTGAACATTTCCACCCGTGAATGAGGTCCGAATCTAAAGTCATTGCCAATTTTGTGATTTCAGACGAGTGGTAAGAGCGCCCACTGCTTGCAACTAACACACCACCGTCCACAAATGCGTTCAAGTATGCACATCGCTCATTTTCTTCGTCTTGGAGACTCTCGCCTTATAATCCACCGTCAGTGAGAATGGCTATTTCGTCGAAGGCGGATGCGATGAAAAGGCAGCTCAGTGGAAATTAAATCAGAGATGGTCAGCAGGGTGAATAAAAGTCGAGAAAATCTTTGACCATGGCTCTGTGCTGTGTGAGAGTGAATCTACGAGCGGAAAGCGGAGACCGCTAGTACGGCGAGAGTGAAGGTCTGCGCGTGAGAGCTTGACAACAGGCGAAGATCCTCGACCAGTCGTCGACAAATCCTCGATCGAGATCACGGATTAGGTGAAGTCGAAAAATGAAACTGACCTAGTTGAGGGACCCACGGACCTCCTGAGGGTGCGAACTGACGCGCAATTCGCATGGAAAAATTTGACCTCGGCACCTATCCATCACAAAGCTGGCGGGTCCGGCGATCTCCGCCCACCGATCATCTGATCACTCGCCGTAGTTCAATCATCGATGACTCGATAGAGTAAGCGCGATGTTGAGGGCAAAGGGATGAATCCACATAGCCGAATCAACGGGCAAGAAAAGGTACCATCACTCGGATCTGGCCGTTCTCATGTCCCCTCCTTCGTGTAACCACTAACCACCTATAATTTGAATGATGCTTCCCATCGTGAATTCTCCATTAAACGGCCCTAAAATCAGAATATTACCACGTGCTCGTCATGGTCGATCTCTAGCCGTTTCCTCAGTGTCATTTAGGGTTATTTTCCGACCAGACCTGCGCCTTCACGCGTAACTGAGATAACACCCCATCGCATTTTTCAATCGTGCACAGTATGCGCTGATTTCACTGCAGATTCTAAAACATAACTATGCACATCCAACATGAAACAAGGAGTGTCAGGCATGAAAATGTGCCCTGTGCCACTCCAAGTCAGCGAGGCCCTACCATTTCTGCCAGACTCACCATTTTTAACAACAACCTTAACAAAAAGGGCACCTTTCCACTCGTTGTCTCTGTGATCAATAGTTGTAAACATCCTCAGTCGCAATCAGCGCACATACCTGCGCAAGCGATGAGGATCGGTATCCCATTCCACATGAACTAGATAAACCGCAGTCAGCAGTCTCGACCATATCACCCCACAAATGCACTGGGGGAAAACTGCATAGAGAAAACCAATGACACGACTGGACTACATACAGAATAAGGCCGCCTCAATAGGGGACAAATCACAGGAAAAGCAACCAATTCATATACAAGCGGTCTAGGGTAACACGAAGAAGCGAGAACCATGAGAAACGGCCCAGAACCCGAGAAATGCTACCCCTTCCTTGCCCGTTGATTCGAGCATTGATGCGACTCTCATCGCTGTGCCCTCTTCAACACTACGCTCTCTCAGCTATCTAATCACTCGCCACGTATTGAACTACGGCGAGTGATCAGATGATCGGTGGGCGGAGATCGCCAACCCGCCAGCTTTGAGGCATGATAGGTCGCCGAGGTCAAATTTTTCCATGCGAATTGCGCGTCAGTTCGCACCCTCAGGAGTCCGCTCGGGTCCTCAACTAGACAGTTCAGCATATATTCGATCCTCACCCTCATCTAGTACAGATCCCCTTTAAGTCTTTTCCCTTAGGGAAATACTTCAAAAAAAAAAAAACAACTTGAAACCGTGCAGAGCATGTGCATACGATAACTCGCAACGGGCTTGTACCGTAGAAAAGATGGCTCGAAATACAGTCGAAGATAATAGGAACATTTCCATGAATCAAGACTGCAGTTGAAAGAACTGGGGACCTGCAAAGGCGAATATGAGGGCTGGATAATGATAAGAGACAGGCAAACAGTCATAATCCAATGATCCATCCTAAGCTAGAAATCTCAGGAAAGCGCATTTATCAATACAAATGGCACAACATCAATAGGTATACGATTCTCTTCTCCGGTTGACATTTCCCCCATGAAGGCGTCCGAATCTAAAGTCATTGCCAAATTTGATATTCAGACGATGTAAGAGCGCCTTATCACGGGCTTGCACCTAACACACCAACCGTCCACAAATGCCGTTCACAGCATGCCATTTCGGCTCATTCTCGTCTGGGTGAACTCCGCCCTTAAATCCACCGCAAGCGAAACTATTTCGTCGGGAACGCATCGGACAAAGGCAGCTCAGTTCAAATTAAATCCAGCGCCGTCACAGGGAATCAAAACAGAAATTTTGGACCATGGCTCGATGACTGATGAAGAATCTACCGAATCTGAAAGCGAGACCGCTATAACGGCGAGAGTGAAGGTCTGCGCTGAGAGCCTGACAACAGGCGAAGATCCTCGACCAGTCGTCGACAAATCCTCGATCGAATTTCACTCTAATAGCCACTGATGCATGAAAGAAGGAAAAATCAAGGAAAACGGCCTGGATCCCGAGAACGGCGAACACCTTCATCACCCATTGCATTTCGTCTTTGATGGGCGATCTAGTCGGTTGCCCCTCTTGGCAAACGCTAACCAGCACCTCTGCTAAACGCGGAAAGGATAGAAACAGTAAAAATGGGAACATACCAGCCGCGCGAGGAGAAAGTCATGCCAGATCGCCGGAACAACGCCTTCGACGGGAACTGAGGGTCGGTCTGCACCCTTGGGGAGGTCCGCCTGTCTCTCCACTAATTTCCTCTTCTTCGACCTTCGTCCTCTGCGAGAATCCTTCTAACTCGTTCAACGCCACATGGCCAACACTTGCCCAGGCTTTCCAACTTTCTTTCGCTCACTCGTTCTCCTACGCTGCTCGCAGCTCGATTTTTTCCCGCCGCAAGCCCGACTAGTAAGCGCGCGATACCCTCAAATTAAACTGAGAAAGCGATTTGTGATCCCTGGATGCAATAAAAATTCCCAAAAAATACGACTGTTCTTTCAAAACTTCATTAGTTTTCCCTGCACCACCGGTACCTTATTTTTGATAAGCCGCCTTCTTGTTGTAAAATCCGCCTTCAAACGCACTAGAAACATAACGTCTGGTTGAGATAGAAGATTAAAGATTCAAAGAGGATCAAAATAAGGTAATAACCGTAACAAACTCGAAATATTTCAAAAAGGCTCACATAAATTAGTTCAGGGTACTTTTCCAGACGAGCGGAAATGTATTCACACAACCAGGTACCGTCGCGAAGATTTGCACACAAAGGATGACCCAGGTCGTTATTGACGCGAATCCTATCCAGTACAGGAATCAAACCTAGCAACACTGAGTTTAGAAGAATATCTGGGACCACTACAGGAATCCCAACCTTGTAGACCACAGTAAACCAGCTGTCCGAAGCGTGGGACGTTGTAGGTGCCATGTCCAATTGCTACCCTTTCTTCAGCATCGGTCATGAACAACAAGCGATTGAAGTCCTGCAGTGTTATGGAATCCAGTACAAATGCCAATTCTAAAATAGATTGGCAATTACAGAAACTCATTCAGACGTAAGAGTGGTAATTTAAAGATTTCAGGGAAATGGTAACCTTTTTCTAGTTCAGGATTTCCCGCAATTACTGCTCTGATCGTTCCGATGGAAGTACGCGCCGCGTCTGATAAACGAATTCTGAATAATTTTTTTAATTTGCTAGGAACGAAATTTTGGGTTATACACTGACAAACCTGAAAGCGATCACCGAACCACTCGGGAAGTTCGTGAGTTCAATAGAGCCGTTTACGTCCCCATGCACAACACACATAGTGGCCTTCTCTGGTGGGATATGGTGGCGAATATGGACCTTGTAGTTAGAGAGTCCAGATAGCACATCCGGGTTTTCTGAAAAAGCGTCTTACAGGACTCCGAGCGCAGCTTACAGTTGAGGAAAGGGGCACAGTTTCATTGAGGCTCTCCCTCTCTCAACCCCACTACTATCGAATTCTCGCCTAATTTAGG